AAAAATGCCGCACGTTGTGACGTCGTGCGCAACTTCAACGCACCATAACTATGTAATTATTTGTTAGATTGACAAATAAAAATATACGTGTCCAATATTTTTTGATATTAAACATTACGGACTAAAAAAATTTTTTTAGGCAACTAGCCTATTCTTCTGATTAATTCGTTGCGGGTCCAATGACAGTTTTAACTTTCCCCCGGGACAAACTTGACCTTCACTGGTTGGGTTTTTATTGGCGGTCAAGCTGTAGATCCTGGCTACACAGGAGTTGCAGAGGTGGGAATTAGAGGTGGGAATAGATCCCGTTAAGTTAATCTGGTTTGGTTATTGGATACTTTTTGCTTAGTAGTTGAGGAGTCAGATTACGCGAGATGCTGAGTTTCTCTATGATCTGTCATAAGTAGATACAAACAAACTATGCCTCTTTAAAATATTAGTGTAGATTTTCAGTTTAACACTTTCCGCGACAGTGAGATGCTATAGAAGTCAACAATAAATTAAACTTATATTGTGTCTGGGTTACTGTCGCGGAAAGTGTTAACATATTTTATTCAGCAACACAACATCAAGAAAATAATGTGATCGTGATAATTACTATCGTTATTCTAATAATAAGAGTCAACACTTTTTTATTTCATTTGTACAGCATTTATAGGTACAAAATAGGTAGGTATATTGAAACTTATCGTTGATTTTACACAAACGGGCATTACATTCTCATCAAATCGATATAACTTTATTTACTAACCAAGTAAAGCAGCTTTGGGTATGGTGATGGTGTCCTCAGAAGCTTTCCACTGGTCCTGCGTGATAAGAGATGGAAAGGTTTCGTCTTCAACATTCTTGACTTCCAACACCCTCACTGACAGACCTGCAAAGAAAAAACATTATTAAGAATAGAGCTTAAAGTTAGTAATCCTAAGAATATTACATTCCACGTATAAAAGCGATTTGCTATGCTAGGTAGGATACTTTGTGGCAATATTGTTTAGTCAATATAGTGTCAATATTTTGTTTGGCAATTTGCGTCAATATGGCGTCACTCGGATTCGAAACCATTTAGTGGCCGATATTTATATAACAATGTTGACCATATTAATAAATGGCAACATTATCGACGTTGCTTACAGTCAATAACCTATTTTAAAATGGTTGGTCGACTACAAGGAATATGGAAAAGAACATGTGCAAACCATACGAAACTATAATAATATTTTAATAAGTGCCTCTAACGTAAAATTGTTGTTTCAACGATGTAGTAACTTCCATTTACTACCACAGTCTTAAATATCCCCCAATTTTTAATTCAATAACACCAAAGTATACTTACAGATATTCTTCACGACTTGCAAGATGGTTTTCTCTTTGGTCACAGCGTCTGCCAGTAAGAAGGCGTTTTCTTCCAGTTGAGTGAGGAGTGCGCTGGCCGCTCGGTTCTGAGCATCCGCACTGAGGTCTGCCCAGGAGGCACGCTGGCTTTCTTCTAAAAGATTTGATCCTGGAAGAAGAAAGGAACATATAATTTATGATTAGGCAAACCGTATGCAGATCAGTCATCCCTATGTGGGTAAGTAATATATCCCACTGAAAGGCACGGGACAGTGGTTCAGGTTATTACACACTTACACTACCAATCCGCATTAGTGGAATTCAATCACAAAAGAAAGGTAGAGGAAATTGTCTAGAAATGAACACGGAGTACAATTTCATCTTCCAAAATTAACCAGTTAGGTATTTGGTCAGCAATATGAAGTACGTTACCTATAATTAGTAAATTAAAACCCGAGAACGTTCCAATTCACGAGATTATTTCATAAAATATTCGTTGAATTCCGTGAAATGTTTAAAAAAATCCCGGGAATATAATGGGCAATATCGCGGACAATATGGTGAGCAATATTGCGGACAATATAGCGGGCAATTTCGCGGACAATATAGTTAGCGGGCTAAATCGCGAACAACATTGTAAGCAATATTGCGGACAATATTGCAAGCAATATTGTGGGCAATATAGTGCAACATTAACTCACCAGTCTTAATAACCCCAAGCAGCATATCTGTGACGATGGCTTCTCTCTGCCGTGGGTCCGGGAAGGTCTGGACGTTGTGGGACATGCGCTGGGCCAGCTTCTTCATTATGGTGGTGGTGGTCATCATGTCGCCGCCGTATAGTGTCTTCGAGGAGGTCACCTGGGAAGAAACGGTTTTGTTATTTTACGAACTTATTTGGGGTCACTAGCATTTGTCGTATTTTTCCACGATTTTAATATGCAGTAGAGCTGACAGGGTAGATACGGATTTACATCTTATCAATGTTTGTAAAATTAATAAGAAGCACCTGCCACATTTGACTGTAGAGTCGGAAAAAATAATTTAAAGTTGACAAAAAATATAACATGGGTTTGCTCTAGAAAACTATGTCATTGGAGGGGCGCATATGCGATTAATATCCGAGCAAGCTTGCCTGATCACTCGTGGCTTGGAAAGTTTAGGGATATGTAATTTTGGGAAGACAAGCTGGCAAGGCATTCCACTCCTTGGCGCATAAAAGATATAACTAAGGCCCAGTTTTTTGATTCGTAGTTAAAATAACCAATAGTTAAACTTGACAGATGTCAAATGACAAGTGGTTAAATATCAGAGAAAAATGTTTTTCGAACAATGGTTAACTTGACTTTTAGTACATTTTTTAACTATCAGTTTACATTTTGGTAATATTTAACCATTAGTAGCAAAATTTAACAATTAGTTATTTTAACTATGAATCAAAAAACTGGGCGTAAGTAGTTCAGATAACTTAAAGCAGTCAAAAATATACCACGTACCTGAGCCAAATCATTGCTGATGCTGAGCAGTGATTCTCCCTCCCTGACCCTCGCCTCCAAACTGTTGAGCCAGACTGAGCGACACTCGCTGAGGTCTGGAGTTGATCCAAACCACTCTGGTATGGCGTCGGCTGTAAGAGAAAACATGTATTTATAAAGAATACTAAGAAAGGGGTTTTTCTATGAATAGTCAACATCATTATTTCCCAAAGAAACACAGTAGACTGCAGACTTCATCATTCGATAATTTTTTAGGGGTGTTAATCAGTAAATGTATCACACTGATTCAGTATCGGCCGAATCCTCATAATGAGGGCTATCGTTTTTATACATAACAGTTGGCACCCCTGGCGATTGACAGGACCTTACTCTACAGTGGCGCCATCTTGATGAGTGCAAATGCGATAGTCCTCCTACCACTTTAGCGCTCACCAGTTGGTGTCACTGTCTTCGCTACTAGCAAGTGACAGGACCTTACTCTACAGTGGCGCAAACTGGTAAGCGCTAAAACGATAGCCCTCATTGGAAGCGTGCGGATTAATGTGCGGACTCTTAGACTATGTCAGTGCAACATATTATTTTTGTTCTTATACATTTATAACTAAAGCCTGGTCCGTGAGCACGTAGAATCCCGTCCAATGCCCCGAAGCTACCCATCCTTATCGCTCGCGCGTAATTATATTGCTGTCGCGACTGTGCGACGCGCGCCCGCAGTGAGTGTGCGAGCGCGACAGCGACATAATTACGCGCGAGTGACAAGGATGGGCAGCTTGGGGTCATTGGACGGGATTCTACGTGCTCACGGACCAGGCTTTACACATCTATTTGCTGTTTGACACTCACGATAAGCGAAGTCAGACACAGTGGAAGGGTGCTGGCTGGAGGCCTGGGCGTCGGGCAGGCTGGCGCCCCCTCGGTAGTCTATGAGGTGCTCTGGGATATCGCCATCGCGGCCTGGAATCAGACACCAGTGTTTGAATGCCACTTTGCGACACAAACGAAAGTTAGCTCCGATCTTAACGCTAAGATAACTTTTTTGCGTTCGTTTCAACGAAAGCCCATACACTGCTGGAGAAAGGCTACCCCAAAGATATCCACAACGAACGGTCTAGCCCCTTAGGTACTTCCTGCGACCTTCACTAAATCACCAATTTTTCTACTGAGAGGCCGGCCTAAGCGAAAGTTCGCTTCGATCTTAACGCTAAGATAACTTTTTTACGTTCGTTTCCAAAACCCATCCACTGCTGGACAAAGGCTACCCCAAAGATATCCTTAACGAACGGTCTTGCCCCTTAGGTACTTCCTGCGACCTTTACTAAATCACCGATTTCTCGACTGACATGTTATGTCTTCCAGTTCATGGTCGCCTTTTCTGTCCCAAAGGCCACTGCCACATAAGTTTGGCAATTCTGTGGACTATATCTATTACTTTTATTCACCTACCGACCTACTGATTAGATTACGTAGGCAAACTCTGAGCATAGCACGCTTCTCGTTTGATTTCGTTCGTTTCAGCCAAATGACGCTCACTGCTGGACAAAGGCGTCCCCCAAGGCTTTCCATAACGACTGGACCTGCGCTGCCCGCATCCAGATTCTTCCCATGACCATCACCAGATCATCGGTCTACCTAGTAGGAGGCCTGCCCACGCTCCTCTTTTGGATTAGTGATAATTATAATGGTTTAGGCAAAGTAAATACAAATGAGTAGGTCATCTTCATAGAAACGCACCGAGCGCGTTTTGAACCTGGAAGGAAGAAGGAATGGAATATGACCTACTCATTTGTATTTACTCTGGTTTAGGTTAAATGTTACTACTAATTCTCGGGTACATACAGTTTTGCCGTCTATTCTGTTCTCCACCTACCTTTCAACAAAGCTTCCGACCCCAGTCTCCTGATCAGCTGGAGCTGCCTATCCAAGGCCTGTCCCATCGGCTGGTCTAATCCCAGGTCGTGGTAGTTCTCCCCAGACTGCAGACCTGGACCTCGTCTCCTTGGCGTCCGCTTGTCTTCCTCCGTGAAGTGGTGGGGAGTTAGGGTGCACCTGGAATTTAATTGTGGAATTTAGTTTATTTTTTTATTTTATTTTATTTTTGTGCATCATCATCATAATTTCAGTCAGAGGACGTAGGTACTGTTGCTGAATGTACTAAGCTTCCCCTAATAATTTCCAGATTGGATTGTCAATTTCTGTGCATGTACTCTCATATCAATATTAAGTATTATATAGGCACACACGCGTGATTGATTTTTCGAAACATTATTATAATTAATACTATAGTGAGAAAGCTTTTACACTGTACTTTTACACATTTTTATTTTATTCTATTTCATTTATTAAGTCATACACTAGTATTATATTATCTGTGGTCATACAGAACAGGTGAAAATCAAGGGATACAATAGTAGGTTCAAATAACTGCAATTAAAAACTACAATTATGGCAATTATGAGATTATGGCAAATCCCTCCACCATAGTGGAGGAGGCTCATAGTCCAGCAGTGGACTGTAAAGGGCTGTTGATGATGATGATGATGAAAAACTACAATTATAAATAAATGCTTCTAAAAAAGAAGAACAAAGTTTAAGTTGACGAACTTTAAAGATGAACTGAATCGATATTTACTAGCACATTCGATTTTAAAGGTTCAAAATTACTTTAGTAAGCATAAGACAAAGAGAAAAGTATATTCAAAGATAACTTATTTATAAGGCAATACTCACTTCCACCGGGCAAGGCCCGTAGCACCGCCGGGGCAGGGCTGGAGCGCGTATGAACCAGCCAGGGTCCAGTTCCATTCCAGACCCCTGGCTGTGACTTGGGGACAATACGCCCGCCTCCCTAAAGGTGTTGGGTTGGTGGCTGAAAAGAATATAAGTACTGAAGGATTAGCAAAAAAGTTGAGAATTCTAAAGATTAGGTAGAATGTTCATTACATCATCATCATTCATCTTATACATAACTTGAAAAAATCGAAAGGCGGGAATTGAACCCACGACCTTTGGTTTGCCGGGCGACTGCTCTTCTAACTGAGCTACTAAGCACTGGAGGAACCAGTCGAAATTTTCAAGTGTAATACGCTGTTCCGGCCATCATTCATCATAGCTTGGAATCTATCTGTCTTTCTAATTTTTTATTTTATTTTTTTTATTTGAAAACTCAACAGCTTGGTCGACAATTTAACATGTTACAGAGTAGGTAGTACATTATATAACTCTAGCCAATTACAGAGCCTCACAGCTAAAAGCTAAAAACTATCCTCTTTCGAAGATAAACTTGATCTGTAATGCTTGGGTTTGCAAGCTGTAAGATTCTACAAAAGAATTCTGTCAGAAGCAATATTATATTGGATTAGTTCCGCAAAGGGTAGATAGATAGATAAAAGGTTTATTTGCAAAACACACTGACACACAATAAGCAGTAGGCAAGTTTAAAATTTTAATAATTTAAAAGTTAATGACAATTACGAGCATCTTTTTGTGGTGCGGTCGCTAGTGTTTTTCAATGAATTTTAACCACTACTTAGACATTAGATTGAACATTTTTGTTGTAAAATTAAGTATATTATAACTACATAATTTGTCTTTCCGTCGTCTATACAAGCTTTGTTTGGAACCTTTGCTACAATACAATTAGTTTCCTTGGATCTAGGTGTTTTATGATTTTTAAATAAAATATCAAACAACTGATCACTTACAGAAAGCCTTGTCGAAGTCATCATCAGTGTCTTCAGGTCTGCTTTCCTTCGGCGGTTCTTGTACTGGCGGGGACGAGTCCGAGTCTTCGTCCTTGACTGGCCACTGCATTGTCTCTTCTGTCACCACTGTGAGATAAACAATGTGATTAGTAAACACTTACTATGAAACTTCTGTTACACACCAGAATTAGAAAATTTTCAGTGCTGTGGATTCTGTACTGCTAGCTCAAGAGTTTGAATGTTCAAATATCTGCGATCTATCTAATGGATTGCTGTCAGGGTCAGTAGTCATTGCTCAAGCTTAGTGAGGTTTCATAAGCTGATTTACTAGGTCAAAAATCTGCTAAGTTGACCGGACTGCGTAATTCATAAAGATTTTGACAGTTAAAATACTATTGGATGTTATAATGTGCTCCAAGTCATTTCCATCACAGTTTCAAGCCCTTGATTCTTTGATTTCCAGTATCCAGATTAGATGAATTGTAGGACGTTGGAGTGGAGTTCATATTTTAATAAACGAGATAGCTTTTACGGGACTTTTCCCACCTCTCGTTCCCACCACTGCAACTCCTGTGTAGCCAGGATTTACAGCTTGACCGCCATAAAAACCCAACCAATGAAGGTCAAGTTTGTCCCGGAGGAAAGTTAAACTGTCATTGGACCCGCAACGAAATTAATCAGAAGAAAATAGGAGGAGTTCGAATTTAAGGTTCGACTTCCTGTATATTATAAAAGTTATAAGTAGGTACATTTATAAGATTTATAAATTTAATTATTGTTAATAATATTTAATAACTGTTATTTTGTATTGCTGTGCCCAACCGGGTGTGCATTTGTATGTTAGTACCTAGTACCTAACAATATACAGTGTATTCATTATGTGCAATAAATAAATAAAATAAATAAATAAATAAAATAAATAAATTGCGAAGCAGATGGCAGGTGACAAACAAAGGTTTAAAACCTACCGAAAAGATTATGTACCACGGACCACGGACAATAAATATCAATTAAGGGGGCCTATCCTTGCCAATAATATACGAGATAGCTTGACTTACCATTCTCATCTTCTTTGTTGGGCTTGTCGTTTCTAGGGTTGTCAGTCTCCGCTGCCTTTGGTTCCTCCTTCACGTCCGGCACCGTCTCCCGAGGGGCTTGGGGTGGATCCCTTTCTGACGAGGAGTCCGGTTGGCGGGTAGTCGACTTCTGGAAGCAAGGATGTTGTTACTCTTATGTTAATGGCATAAAAACTAAGTACTAGTTCTGAAGCTCGCAGACCTGATGGCCGCTGGAGCAGAAAAGTTCTCGAATGGCGACCACCAGTCGGGAAACGTAGTGTAGGCAAGCCTCCTACTAGGTGGACCGACGATCTGGTGAAGGTCGCGGGAGGTGCCTGGATGTGGGCGGCGCAGGACCGGTCTTTGTGGAAATCCTTGGGGTAGGCCTATGTCCAGCAGTGGATGCCATTCGGCTAAAACGACGACTAGTTCTGAAGACTGGTAAAACGGTTTTGCTGAGGATTTCCACCTTCAAGTGAATACTATTATCAGCATATTTTCAGCTTATGACAGTTCTGTTCACTAATGGATGTAAGCTTCTCCTAAACGCCCTAAAGCATGATTTTCTCCTGTTTTTATAAAGCCAGACATTTCTGATCTTCTTGGTTCTTACAAGTATAAGAAGTGGGAATAAATAGTCCCTCTAATCTACTATCTTCTTGCAAACAACATCGTAGCACTAAGAAAAATGTTTCCCTAGTTCTGCAGTAGCACTGCTTAGTAGAAGCAGTGGGAAAAGGTCTTTGATATTTTTGCATACTATGAAATTTTCAGAAGTAGAATAAATGTAAGAGAGAGACAAGACAAGCTCTTTCTCCACGAGCTATTCCTTAAACCTACCTTAGTCCCAAGATCTCCCAGCTTCACCTCTGGCGGCAGAGTGATATGCGGCCTAAAAGTCGGCGGTGTTATGACAGTGGGCTTCTTCCTTTCCCCCTGCTGGACCTGGACCGGGTTCTTCGGCACTGGAGCAGCGGTAGACCGCCAGACTGTCGGCTGGGAGGTGATCAGCCAGGGTGGTGATGGGCGGTTGGTTGTGCTTGTTGTTGAGGCTGAAATGGCGAAGATAGCGAGTTAGTGGTGAGGATTTGTTTAAAATTTGTCTTGATATTAGAATTGTAAAAGTTGGTGAGTGGTAAAATTGGTCAAACATCAGTCTTTTTGTTGTTGAGTCTCGATTTGTAAAGGTAACTTCGTTCGTTCGTTCGTTCGTTTCAGCCAAATGACGTCCACAGCTGGACAAAGGCCTCCTCCAAGGTTTTCCACAATGCACGGTCCTGTGCTGCCCGCATCCAGGCTCTTCCCTAGAAAGGTAACTTCGTTAGTGCCATATTCGGTCACATATTTGTATTGTGATGAGAATGACATCTGGAAGCTGGTTCTGCAGTGTTGGTATCTCCTTCATTTTAGAATGAGGAAGCGAGAAACATATATAGAGCTGGACACATTTAACCCACTTTTTAACCCACTATACTTCTTTTGGGCACTATTTTTTAGAGTATTCGCCAGAAAATCGTAAATTAGGCCCAAGATGGTTCCAAAAACATTGCAATGGTTTTGAAGATCGCAACGAGAGTGGATGGACAAGCCTTGTAACTGTTGAGGATTTCCTCAAATACTTGCTACATCATGACTCATGAGGTTGACTGAGCTGAACAATAATAAGGCATCTTACCTGGTACACATTGGTAGTGCGCTTCTAAATATTTCAATGTGTTTGGACATGGATCCCCGAAGACGTTCGTACTGGCCAATATACTGCAGTTCTGGTGCATGCTACATCTGTGGACAAAAGAAAACAAACGAAAATTAAGTTATTAAATTGTTATAAGCTTTGGATCTAGAAATTTTTTCACTTTCTTGGCTGGAAACCTATAACAAACAACCACGAGCGGTTTTCCACGTATCTACAGCAAATTCGTTGTAAGTGTTTACGACTCTATCCACAAATCGTTAGGTCTTCTTCTTGTCGTGTCGACAACAAACCTACACAGCGTCAGCCCAAAACTCCGCCACAAGAGTGGCGTTGTCAGTAGCCTTCATTAAATCTTCCTGCGTGCAGTTGTTTGGGCACGCAGGTCACGACATCATGTGCTTCGTCGACTGGGGAACAAAACCACATTTGTACTCCAAGTTTGAGCCATCCAAGAATCCCCACCTGAACAGATTGTCCTTACTACGGCCGATCTGCGTCCGAAGTCTATTAAAAGATTTCCATGTAGCCCACCCACAAGGTGGACCAACGACATCATAAAGGTAGCAGGAAAGCGCTGGACGCAAGCCGCTACCAACCGGGTAACATGGAAAGCATTGGGGGAGGCCTATGTTCAACAGTGGACGACCTATGGCTGAGATGATGATGATGATGATGATGATGATGATGTAGGCCAGGGGAGCTCATGTCCAGGCGGAGGACTCTTAGACATCGTCAGGTATTGAGGATATTATATCCAATAGGAGGTACGATAGTAGGTCTAGGCCTACCTACTAACGTACTGAGTACGCCCTCCCTCCCCTTGTGTCTAAATGAAAAACTACCATGCATCCAGTAAATTTACATATAAACGCAGAGCTTGTGTACTCCCGTTCATCCGTCAACAGCTTCATTCCAGTGTTACGATTAAAAACGGTTAGTGATGACGTCACGCGTAATGGCTATCAATCCGACGCCATTTGCATGAGTTAGCCAGTTTATTGGCAATCTCGCGGCTACGGTTGCCAGGTGTCCGGCTAAAGTTGGATTTTTCGGACGTGTCCGGCCAAATATTTTCTCGTCCGGAATTTTGTTAGGCTTTTAATGTGGCTGCCGCGCCAGCCGAAAGTCGAGTGCACAAGTAAAGCCATGAGCGATTATTTTAGGAAATATTTTTCGGCTGTGAGCACATAATAATATTAGGGCTTTTAAAAAGCTATGATTAGCTGTTAAAAAAGGAATATTAGGCTTATTAACATAGTCTCTAATATCAAATTGTTACTAACCAAAATATGGACTGAATTATAATATTAATGTCTGACAATAAATGATTTTTATTTTACTTTGTGTTTTCGGACGTTGCAACCCTACGGCTAACATGATAACCTTCGGTGTAGCGAATATTTAATTTTCGGCAATTTTCGACGACCGAGTTACATTACCATGGGATTTAGGATTATTTTAGCATGAACGCGTTGATGGGGTGTGAAATGGGTGAAGGCAGTTCCGAGGATAGGATCTAAATCAACTTCTAAAAAGCTGCTGTATTACTTCAGTCAGGTCACAAAAGAAAAGTAAGATGGTAAGCTAAAAACTAGCTAGGGTGATTTTGTAACAATATTGTGTGTCACACAAGGTGGACCGACGACATCGTAAAGGTAGCAGGAAGGCGCTGGACGCAGGCCCCTACCAACCGGGCAACATGGAAAGCATTGGGGGAGGCCTATGTTCAGCAGTGGACGTCCTATGGCTGAGATGATGATGATGATGATTCTGATGTCTAATACATATACTGTATTTATCCGTACATAACATCTGTACATAGACACGGATTCTGAATATTAAATTCATATAAGACTCAACCTGCGTTTTGAAACGAAACTCAAAAATAAATTGCAACTTAGCTTAACTACGCGGCTACGTTTAAATTTATTTTCAAGTTAATATTCACATTGAGTAGGTATTCAATATTTCAATCAATCAAGTTAATTACGATAATATCTACCGTATTTTAAACAGTGTCCGTTATTTCTTATACTGTCACTCTCTTGGGAATCGAACCCAAATCTCTCGAGCGTGAAAGTCAAGAGTATAAATAATTTATTGTTTAAAACATCCTTGTATGTATTTATTTAATTATCTTAGGACGTCCACTGCCTTGTTTATTTGATAACTTCCAAAACTCATTATTATTAAAGTATTAAATATTATGATTTCCGCGACAATTATTACGACTTCTGTTATCTTTTTCGACTTATTCCTAATCTGTTTTTAAATTATACAGTAGTAGGATACCATAAAGACAAGTAATTAAATAATTAATTAACAAAACATGTTCCAGATGATATTTCCGAAAGCGTTAAGTCCTTAACGGTTATTGATTCAGAGTTCCGTACACTAAAATTATTATTCAAAGGTGTATTTAGTTAAGTATCTAATTAGATGTAATCTAGTGTGCTTACTATGAGTTTACGTTAGGTGCGCTCGCAACTGCGTCAAAAACTGACATTAAATGTATGGCAGATTGTACTGCGCCCCTAGCGGCTACTTTCAAGAACTAAAATCTTTATAGATTTTTTGACGCACACACCTAACGTAAAGTCATGTTAAGCACACCGTTTTCAGGTTTAAGTTACTAGATATCAGACTGAGTGTCGAACCTACAAACGCTCTGGTTTTGTAGAAGTTGAAACTAGTACTTTACTAAAGCTTGGCAGTATAGTATTTGCTAATCAACGCTTTATCACAATCTGTCAAATTAATGTTAATGACACTACGATGGAGACAAAACAGTCATCATCACCATCCCCATTACTTTAAGCCAATGGTGGCAGTCCCACTGCTGGAAATAAGCTTCCCAAGAAACCCAACAATCCGTGATCTTCGGCTTTTTCTTTCAGCTACGGCAATTTCAGCATGTATTCTGTGGTTTTAGTTATAGTATCTATAATATGGGAATTTTTCAGTTTTTATAAGCAATGGGGGTTTTCGCTACACCATCATAGCAAATGGTTTATGCATCTGTAACGCGGATCCCTGAACTGGACTTACGTTAATCAATACCATAACATTTCTCCGATCGTTTACATTTATTTTTCCGTCTCATCATTTGTATAATAATTAATTAGCTGAGTATAATTATGTAATATGATACTTGCCTCTAATTGGTGACACGATACCGCTTCATGTCTTTAATAATAAATAATAATGTCTTATATTATGCTCTGATTGATCTCCCGATATGGTTTAATTAGTTAGGTTATTATTTTTAAATGGTTTGCTTTATCGACAGTTAATGGGCATCGTGAAAAGGTCAGCAAAACGATTAAATTTTGTACTAAAAATAAATATTTTTGAAGTCAAATTAGCGTTAAGTAACAGTGTGTCAACTCAAAATTTTAAAGATTTAAAAAGTAGACTAAATTCGTAAAATACATTTTAATTTAAAATGAAATCGTACTATGTAAAATTAGGTAAGTAGGTACTTAGCTATTGTGCTGAATTCGATAAATGCCGGATTATCGATAATATGAATTTAATAACACCAATTGATTATAGCTCATCAGAACTAACAAAATAACGGTATATAGGTACGCAAAATGGCATAACGCAACTAAAATTAGCAAAGCTCTCGATATAATGGAAACCGCAAATGTGACGGTAAATGCTTTATTTGGACAATATGAATAACGGCGGATTATGGCCAGGTTGCACCGTGACCTGTTTTTGTCTAATCCGCAGTGAATTGTTTGGACTGAGCTCAGATGGCGCCACATGATTAGTATAGTGATACGTGATGAAACGCTGCATGTATTGTGTATGGAACGGTAACGTTGGGATCTATTGCTGGGTATTTGCCATTGACAGTGTATAAAGACCTTTTAGTTGTGGAACATGTTTAACGGTTACTATAACCTTAACCGGTGTTTTTTATATCTATTTGGACAGATTTTTGAGGTTTGTTATAGTTATAGCAAGATAGTCAAAAGTGGCTCCAAATGGTTCGTGTAATATTACACACGTTGCTGCTCGCCAGTTCTGTTACTTGAACTTGGCTTGACACGCTACCGCATGTCTAGATTTAGATACTCGTTTCTGATGATTAGGCGTTTGTTAAAAAAGGTCCTACATGAATGAAGCCCTTTGGCTCACTGTTTCGAAAGACAGTATTTTTTAAGTGTAAAAATGTTACAAAAACAAATAGCAAACTAACCTGCTATGTAAAACCCGCAAACTCCTGGTGGACATGCAGTTGACACTCCAGTCGATGTTCCCATGGTCGTTGCAGATCGTGATCGAGAACCTTCCATAGTTCGCCCTGATGAGGTGGATGACGGAACCCTCGCTGCAGCCGATCTTGAGGGTCTTCCCTTCGCAAGCGTACGCCGTTTCGTATCTTGGTTCTGGAATAAAGAAAAATAGTGATGAGAATTTGAGATTTTTTGATGATACGCTATGATAGAATAGAGAAAAAAAATTAAGGATGAGAATTTGCGTTTTTTGAGTTGGGACACTGTGACGTTCTGTGGCCAGACGAATAAATAATTTTAGAAATAATCACAATGTAATAAATGGCGATGTAAATTATTTAATCTTAAACAAAACAGAAAAATATCTCCGTTTTATTTTTGCAAATCACAAAGAGATTTTTGGATTACTTCTGATTGAAACAACCAATAATATTTCCACTACGTTTTGTTTGACCGAAGAAATAAATAATTAGTCTTAAATGCTTTAAATTAGTTTTTTATATGTATTAGATTTACCTAACACTCAAATCATTGTTTGACTCTATCAATTCTTTTATTTCATTATATCAGTCTGATTATAGCCACGATATTAATCGTAGTAAGCTTCCCTTGATAATAAAACCAAGCATAACCCCTGAAATATTTTCGCCTACCGTCCATATCCTTCATTTCGTTCGCAAAATCGTTCTGAAACCTCTTGTTTTCGGATCGTTCAGAAAATGATTATGAAACGTTGAGTCGACAGTTTTTCTTTTTGTCCCGAAAGGCGCAAATGGTTCTCGGTTAGTGATGTGCAAGTGTGCAAGATGAGTGTCCCGGTTTCCCAGTCATTAACTGTCCCAAGTTACTTCTCAGGCTGAAATAAGAGTGTGTAGTTTATGTAGTCACACTATGTATAACATCGAGCCAAATAAGACTTTTTTTTTGGTAGACATCTATGAAAATTTTCTAAGAAATAAAATCATATTCAGTGTTATGCAAGAAAACTTTGTAGGTTTGAGTCGTGTTTTCAGTTTTTACAAATATAGAGCAGAACTTAAATAGAGTTAAAGGATTCGATCAACGAATCAGCTTCAACACTCACAGAACTGTCATCTCGCGTCATCGTATATGACATAGTCATCATTATACTTACAGTTGCAACGCATAATATCATTACTGTTGTCCCATGTCCTTGACATATTGTCCTGCAAAATATGTATATCATTACTGCCGTCCCATGTTCCTGTTCTGACTTTGTCCCATGTACAGTCGCGGAATGAAAAGGTTCGTCACCGTGTCGGTTTTCGCTTGCACTCGGTACTGTAAGAGTCAAACCTGCCAACATAACCGTGCAAGAAACAGTGCTGCTAACATTTAAATAAATATGACGTTTGCTAACTAAAAATAAGGTTTAGCTTGTTTATATTTCTATCCCATCAGTGGAATGTTACAAAATGTAGTTTTATTTATTTAATAGATAATGGCAGGTTGAACCAACAAGAAGGTTTTAGTTTATCAATCATAATAATCTTCTTGACAAGTTAAATCGTCAAACAACTTTGAACTCAATAATTTTGAACATTACTCACGAACAGTTAAAGATCATTTTCTCTAACTCGAGATTATTCTGTAACATAGTTTCAAAAGGTAATATGTGCTCGCGATTCGTTGAAGGAATCAATTTGAAAACTGACGAACCTTTTCATTCCGTGACTGTACCTGTCCCGATTTTGTCCCAACTCGTCGTGTTACTGGCAACACTACCCCCGTCCGTTTAATTGGGTTTATTTGCGGAGAGATGAATGTTGTTTCCTTTTCGAGAAAGGAGCGCTATTCCCGCGAGTATTCGCCCGTGTGTTTTCATCTTTGATGGGAGTTTTTGTAGGCGTAGTTCGATTTTGTTAACAACTGTCTTGCATAAACGAGTAGAGATGTTTTTTACCCGACTGCGCTAAAAGGAGGGTTATGTTTTGAGAACTATTGGATTGAATTTGTGTTGTTTTTATCGTCTTCTGGTGCTTGTTGGACTTCCTATTATGTATTTATTTGAAACTTAGATGTTTAAGTTTGAGGCGAACTTAATGCCATATGGCATTCTTCTCCACTTAACCTTACGGGCTAACTGACTATTAAATTGAGAGCAATGTTTTCTTATAACAGGACGAAGGCCATGGGCAGTCTCATCACATTTACTACATTTTAGTAGGAAATTATTATTCTTAAAGTCCTTAACCCTTAATAACTTTGGTCTTTTTATTTCCATGTATATTAAACCAAGTTTTGTTTGACTCATTTTGATTTACGGATTTAAGTACTTGATTTAACTGAAAAACAAATAGAATCTTGAAATTTTCCATCACCCTCCAATCTATCAACTACTTATGGAATATTTTTATCATAAATCTGCCCTGTCCATATAGGTTTACATATTCGTTTTTTCTATGTAATTACCTGATCCCCTTGTCTTGTGAATTGTTTCCCCTAAAGTGGGTACTGGACACGGATTATAAATCATTTTTATGACCCCTACCCCCTTACGCTCTAAATTAGGGGGGTGACTGGCGTTTTAACGTCAAACGTTTTCTTTATGATTTAGAATANAATTTCTTCAGAAAAACTTTATCACAGGTGGCAATTTTATAAAAATCGATAGTGGCAGGGTTATCCATTGTTTTTGGGACACCCGGTATAATAAAAATATGTAAGAAAAACGATCAAAACATTTGAAAATGCGTTAATTGCAATCCATTCATAGAGTTTCAAGTGGTGGACCAAAACGAAATATTTAATAGCCAAAACCCACCGCCCCCATAACTCAGTACCTACTACACTTCCCTTTTTCAAATGGCATAATTACCCACTCATATATCCCAAAACATCTTAAACTCAAAAATTACACCCTATTCCAACGTAATAAAGTTCAAACTCGCGTGACAGGATTAATGTCATAGCTGTCATTTGACCACCGATTTCATTTATAAATAAATATAAATAATAAATAAATCTTTGGACAGTTTCACACAGCGCCAGCTAGCCCCAAAGTAAGCAACTTAATGCTTGTGTTATGGGTGCTAGCTTAACGGATATACTACTTATATACTTTTTTTTAAATACATAAATATTATACATAGTCACACCCAGACCCGTCACAGAAATTAAAATTCATCATTTCAATTTCTGCCCGGCCGGGAATCGAACCCGGGACCTCTCGGCATAGTAGTCCGTTCTGAACCACTACACCAAACGGCCGACATTACACCAAACGGCCGACGTATTTGAAAATGAACATTAAATCGAAGGTCACAAGGTGAGTATTACGTTGTTGCTGTTTTATAGCAGTCGCAGATGTAACAATATTGGTTTCCCGGTGAATTTAATTTTGTCTGTCGTTATCGAGTATAGCGATTAATAGCAGACTTTAGTATGGTTTTACTGCGGTTTGTATCTAAAGAATAAAGGTTAGGTTACATTTACACAGCCTAGCTAGAGCCACTTCTTCGCCCCAGCTGTAGATAATAATATGTTGTCTCGAAGTAGTGGTAGGGCAGGTTATACATATTTGGGAGTTTTAAGTGCCCTGAATAGAGCCTACATACTAATAAACAATAAGAGTTTGACGGTACATAGTTGCTTTTTAATTCAAGAAATACTTAGTCCTATTTTAATGACTTAAGTGACGTCATCTAAGTCTTCTAAGTTTTATAAGTAGGTACCTTTATTCATGTGGCAAGAGTAAACCTAAATTTTGACTGAAAACCGCAATAAAATTGTTTATAACCTTGTGTTGCATATTAATAAAGTTAACAATAGAACAGCAAAATTATTGCAATCACACAAACCATGACGAATTTCCATTCCTCTAGAATGTTGTCTTTGATTGATAGATAGTTCAAAATCAAATGAAGTTTGATGTTTTGGGTGACTGTACGCTATGCGTTTACAGGAATAAACAAATAAAATATTTTACAACTTGATTTAATGACAGAGAACTTGAACGAAGTTTCATTAGCTTCGAGCGGCTGTGTTGTAGGGAAAATCATTTTGTAATTAAGTACTTACGTGTATTCTTAGGACGAGTTGCACCACTTCATTATAACCGTAACTAACAATAACCGGTGCTTTTTGTATGGAGTTTGACAGATTTTTGACGTCTATTAAAGTTGAATTAAGAAGGTGCAACCCAACCTTAAAGTTTGAAAATAAGAGTAATTTAAAAATCGAACGCATTTCTTTTTTTTTTTCGTGCGCAACCATAACATTTTTTGAAAAGCGACTTTGGCGCATCGGTTCACACGGCCGGTCCAACCCCTCAACATTTTTTGAAATTCGAGGATCGAATGTAACTTTTTTTTACTCTAACTAAAGGCTTGCACACTGCTGGCCAGTGTCATGCAATTTAATTTAGTATTCAATTTCCATAACGATACCCGGTTCCCATCACACATGTCGTTCGTTAAACTTTACCGTTTAACGTTAAATTTATCGCGCGGACAGGCGGCTTACGTTAATCTGTGCCTACTTTAAATATTCCCAAACTTTTTGATTAATAGGTGCCCACCATACGATCATTGCGGCGAAATGTCAGTGCACGGTTTTGCTGTAATTTTCAGGTGATTATAAGAATGTCTAGAATAATTAATTATGCATGATGAATGAATGTTTCGGCTAGGATGAGTAATTTAATGTTAATGATTTGTTTGCAAGGCGCTGTTTGTCTTTTGTTTTGAGTATTTCTGTTGCAGTTTCATACGATTGTACTAGGACTTGTTCCCACGGTAATCCCGTAATGCAGGATCCCGCAAAACTGGACTGTGATGTGAACACAAGTTGTTTGAAATTCAGACTACAAATTCGACCCGACTGGTTGTTTGCGGGACACTGCAAACAGGATGCAACTTTTAAGCTTGATTTCCAGTGTACTATCTAACGTCATAACGCTAACGGTACAATGCTGTAATCCTGTAATATCAATAAGAAATTCCCAAATAAAGACATAGATGTTATAATGTTCTTTTAACAGTTAAATCAGCCTTTCAACAAAATGTCTGATTCGATGCGTCCGAAAAATTCTCAAGTGAAAATTTTAAAAAACCCCAAACTAAGTAAATACGAGGAAATGTGAAAGTTAAACTCGCAAAATAAAACTGTTGACGAATAAATTTGGACGGAA